AGAGGCATCTTCGCTAACCCCAGATCTGAGCCCCTGGACAGAGGGGCTTAGCACCGCTGAACTCTGTGCATGCTCAAGGACTTATCTAGGCCACTGTTTGCAAACTATTGAAACAGAATGTGCACAACCTTGCGAGGACCGGATGGGGAGCAGATTGAGGACCGGATTAATTCAGGGTGGGCCTTTTGCTCCCACCATCCCCTGATTAGAAATGTGGGGAGCAGATAAAGGCATATTCAGATCTTTTGTTCACTCTAAGTACAAGCGAGAAGGGGATCTGCCCGGGATGGGTGGACGTTCTGGGCTGAGACAAATCAGCCCACAAAGTTTTTCCTAGGCTGCAGCACACGCACATGGAGTGAAATACTCTATCTGTACGGACAGGGGGGAAAAAGGCTATGCCTTTCCCCTTTTCCCTCCAGTAGGGAAGAATGCAAACCTGTCTGGCCAGGCCTAAGCGTCTCTTTCCTCCTCTTCTCCTGTCAAAGGCTGGAAAGGGGCAGGGAGGCAAGAAAGCTCAGGAGGAGGATGGGGCCCGCGCTTTCCAAAGCGCCTCCCCCACTCCGAACACCAATGCCCCCCTCATCCACAGCATCTGGTAACTGTGGCCATGCTAACCTTGTTAGAGTTGAAAACAATGCAGGGAGAGAGGAGCGTGAGGCGGAAACAACTTTGCCCAAAGGAGCAGCTGCCTTCTGTGGCCGGCACGCTGCGGGCTCGAGCTGTCCAGAAGGTGCTGGCCTGCATACTGAGACTCAGCCCTTGCTTGCTCTTGTACTCTGAAGGACATCCAAAGAGCCCTGCTGGGTCAGGCCAGGGAGGGTCCATCTAGTCCAGCCTCCTGCCTCACACAGTGGCCAACCAGTTCCTCTGGAGGGCCAACAACAGGGCATAGAGGCCGAGGCCTTCCCCTGAGAAGGACATCAGAAGAGCCCTGCTGGGTCAGACCAGGGAGGGTCCATCTAGTCCAGCATCCCGTCTCACACAGGGGCCAACCAGTCCCTCTGTAGGGCCAGCAACAGGGCAGAGAGACCGAGGCCTTTATAAGAATGTCAGAAGAGCCCTGCTGGGTCAGACCAGTGAGGGTCCATCTAGTCCAGCATCCTGTCTCACACAGTGTCCAATCAGTTCCTCTGGAGGGCCAACAAACAGGGCATGCAGGCCAAGGCCTTCCCCTGATAAGAACACCAGAAGAGCCCTGCTGGGTCAGACCAGTGAGGGTCCATCTAGTCCAGCATCCTGTCTCACACAGTGTCCAATCAGTTCCTCTGGAGGGCCAACAAACAGGGCATGCAGGCCAAGGCCTTCCCCTGATAAGAACACCAGAAGAGCCCTGCTGGGTCAGACCAGTGAGGGTCCATCTAGTCCAGCCTCCCGTCTCACACAGCGACCAGCCAGTTCCTCTGGAGGGCCAACATCAGGGCAGAGAGGCCAAGGCCTTCCCCTGATAAGGACATCAGAAGAGCGCTGCTGGGTCAGACCGGGGAGGGTCCATCTAGTCCAGCATCCTGTCTCACACAGTGGCCAGCCAGTTCCTCTGGAGGGCCAACAACAGGGCAGGGAGGCCGAGGCCTTCCCCTGAGGAGAACACCAGAAGAGCCCTGCTGGATCAGGCCAGTGAGGGTCCATCTAGTCCAGCATCCCGTCTCACCCAGGGGCAAGCCAGTTCCTCTGGAGGACCAACAACAGAGGAGAGAGGCCAAGGCCTTCCCCTGATCTTGCCGCCTGGCTCTGGGGTTCAGAGGCAGACTCCTGTTCTCCTGTCAAACAGTTCGGGCCCGGTTCTCTCCTTTCAGCTCTTTCCTGCCCTTTTTCGCCTCCCAGAAGTACTGCAGCCCCTCTTCAGTGGGCTGTGTTTTACTGACGGGGGGAGGGGCAGTCCCTGTGGGTGGGGCGGTCTCTGCTTCCCAGACCCACCAAGCAGAAAGGCAAGGTCTGGGGACAGGACAGTTGCTCCCCTGGGCAAATGCTGCACTTTAGTCCAGCTCTGAGCCACCAATCAGGACGGGGAAAGAGGCACTCTCGGAGATGGTGTCTCCCGTTTAAGGCTGCCGAGAAACGCCCACCACAGCTTTGCCAGCCTCCCACTGAGCCCCTCCCTCCCTCCCTCCAACTTGCTATCCCACAACTCCAGTCCTCTGCCACTAGCTGTGGCTGTCACCACAGTGGTCCCGGGTGTCATGCGTCCTCGTGGGCAGGACAGGGCCACAAACAAATGGGACTCATGACAGGGTGGTCCCAGATCCCGTGCCAAAACAGCTGCAGCCTGACGCTGTTATCAGTGTGCCAGCTGGCCTGATCCCGAACCGCTCGCTCCGATTTTGCTAAGCGCGAGGAGGGAGCAAGAGCACTGCCAGGTCTGGGGCCCCCTCCTCCGCCATGAGGGATCTTATTCTCAGGCTCCCCAGCCGGTGCCCAAACACTTCCAAGCATCTGCTTAGCACAAACTTTATTATTTTTTTTAAAGGGGCTGTGAGATGGTTGGGAGATGGAATTCTGGGAGGGAATTCTGCAACCAGGACCAACTTCCCGCGCTCTTGAGCTGCTTCCGTCGATTCCAATGAGGCTTAGGTAGGAGACGCTTCCATGGGGGCTCGTGTCCTGTCTTAGGCCCCGGTCACACGGGAGGATTTGACCCGCGAAATGGACGGCTTGAGGGCGCATCAAATGGGCGCGATCACACCGCAACATCTGGGAAGCGTCACACACCCATCACCGATCCGTCCCTTCGGCCCGAAAACGCGCATTGAAAAGGGACTGGCAACAGAGCACTACCTTCCGGATGACGCGCAGCAACTCCAGGCGTCTGATTGGGGAAGTGCTGGTAGCCCGTCACAGCCAGCGCCGTTCCCCGTCCCACGCATGCGCACAACGTCCGTTTTGCTGCGCTATGTGTGATCGCCTGCCGAAGGCCGGAGCCACAGAGGCACGTCGGATCGCCCTACCGCGGGTTTTTTTGCTCCGGCTCTAATTTGCCTCCCTTCAGCGGCACAGTATCCTGCTCGTGTGACCGGGACCTTAGTTATTGGAGGGATGTGGGGGGGGGGATGCCTTTTGGATTTTGCGTCTCAAGCAGGGACCGTCCAAGGTCACTCTCAATACCGTTTCTTGTGTGCGTGTGTGTGTGTGTGTGTGTAAAGTGGCAACACACTGCAGCCGACAGTTGGTGACCCTGCAGGGTTTTTTCGAGACACGAGACGTTCAGAGGTGGGTTTGCCATCGCCTGCCTCTGCAATGTGACCCTGCACTTCCTGGCTGGTCTCCCATCCAAGTACTAACCAGGGCCGACCCTGCTTAGCTTCTGAGATCTGAGGAGACTGGGGCAGCCTGGGCCATCCAGGTGAGGATGGACGAACAGAGACGGTTTGCCACCGCCTGCCTCTGCGTCGAGACCCTGGGCTTCCTTGGTGGTCTCCCACCCAAGTGCTGATCAGAGGCCAGCCCTGCTTAGCTTCCGAGATCGGATGAGACGGGGCTGGCCTGGGCCGTCCAGGTCAGGATAGTCCCTTTCCTTAGGACCAGCAAAAGGACACAGAACAAGTTTTCAAGTTCTCCAAACCTCTTCTTCGGGCTGGATCTTTGGGTGGGTGGGGGGAAGAGGACGAAACATGGATCTAGGAGGGGAAATTGCCTCGGGACACGACGATGGGGAGCCCTGCGCATGTCTGCAGAGAAGCAGGGCTGATTCAGACGGGGCTGGTCACTCCTGCCGTTCAGGGATGCGGCTGCCCGGGGGGGTCACCCGAGAGCCTCCTGTACCCTGCGGCACAAGAAGAGCCGGGCATGAGGAGCGGGGTTGTTATGTATTTGGACTGAAACACTGCAGGACGGTGCTGCCAGAGACAGGGTGAGCTTGGAGCCGAATAACAACAGGCCAACAGGATCCTGGCAGCGACCAATCGAGGTGTAGAGTTATGTAAACAGCCTATCGTTGGGAGCGGGGTGTGTTGGGGGCGTGGCCACTGCAGGCAATATAACCGAGCTGAGGCTCTGGCCTGCAGTCTTGTTCTTGCTGAAACCACTGAATAAAGTAGAGCTGATCCCTCGACTGGGAGTCTGTTCATCCATGGAACCCCCACTGTTCAACAGGGGGGGGGGGATGCAGGGGAGACCCAGTTCAGGGCGGGGCACAACCTACTGCACCGTCTCATAATTTAACAGAAAAAAAACCTGTCCTACTCTCCTTTCCCAGATCCGAGACAGAAGCCGCCGGAGAGAGCGCCCTCCTCCAAGACCG